TAAGTGTCAAAATTTTTCAAATACTTTTACCACATCTATCAATATGATTTTATGGTCTTTCATTTTCAGTCTTTAATATGGTGGATAACATTGATTGATTTTCAATTATTGGACAAGTCTTACATCCTTGGATTAAACCCATCAGGTCGTTGTTTATTAGTCTTTTTCTATATCATTGGACTTGATTGTCCCATAAATGTTCATTAGGGATATCTGTCTATTTGCTTTTCCTGTATTTTTTTTCGTCTGCTTTGATATCAGGGTAATACGGGACTCATAAAATGAGTTGGGAAGTGTTCCCTTCTCTTTTATTTTCTGATCCTGTGAATTATTTAGAAATGTGTTGTTTAATATCCAAGTATTTGAAGTTATCTTTATTGATTTCAAGTTTAACTTTGGACTTCAATTCTTTTAAATTTGTTAGGGTTTGTTCTGTAGTACAGGGTATGGTTTAGCCTGGTAAATGTTCCATGTGCACTTGAAAAGAACTTGTATGCCTCTGCTGTTGTGCAGAGTAGTCTACAAATGTCAGTTAAATTCGGTTGTTGATGGTGCTATTATTCTGTTTTTCTACATCCTTGCTGATTTTCCATCTATTTTTCTATTAATTTCTAAGTACTGTTAAAATCCCTGACTATAATTGTAAATGTATTCACTTATCTTTTAGTTAAATAAGATTTTCCCTCATATTTTGAAACCTTATTGTTAGGTACATACACATCTATAACTATTATATCTTCTTCATGAATTTACCCTTTTATTATTGCATGTTCCTCTTTATTTGTGGTAATTTTCCCTGCTCTGAAATGTGCTTTGCCTCAAGTTAATATAGCCACTTCAGCTTTCTTTTTTCTTGTGAGATGGAGTCTCACGTTGTCACCCTGGGTAGTGCTCTGATGTCATAACTCACAGAAACCTCAGACTCTAGGGTTCAAGTGATCCTCTTGCCTCAGCCTCCGGAGTAGCTGGGACTACAGGTGTGCAATGCCCAGCCAGTTTTTTTATTTTAGTAGAGACAGGGTCTTGCTCTTGCTCAGGCTGGTATCCAACTCCTGAGCTCAAGCAATCCACCCAACTCTGCCTCCCAGAGTGTTACAATTGCAGGTGTGAGCCACCATGCCCAGCCTCTACTTCCATTTTCTTTTGATTTGTGTTTGCATGGTATATCTTTTTTAATCCTTTGCTTTTAACTTATCTATGTCATGTTTAAAGTGAGTTTATTACAGACAGCATAGAGTTGAGTCCTCTTCCTTTATTATTCATTTTGACAATCTCTGTCTAAATTGGTGTACTTAGACCATCTACATTTAACATAAATGTTGATATATTGATATATTTGGATTTAGGTCTACCGTTTTATTATTCACTTATTCATTTTATTTGTCCTGGTTTTTGTTCCCCTAATAAGAGGGGGAAAGCAATAAGGATTCTTCCCATGCCATTGGGACACATTTCCCTAGTTAGAGAGAAGAATTTTCCTTCCCCTGCATAGCCATTGTTTTCCTCACTGTGCCATTGCTCCTGCTGTCACATGATTGCCTGGGGCTACAGCAGGAGAAAAATGGAAACAAGGAGGAAGCTCCCCTATCTTTCTTGTTTTTAAGGGGCATCTTTTTTCCTGCTCCACAAACCAGAAGGGAGGACTTTTCCTTGACCTCTGTCTCCCTTAGTGGGCACTTCTGAGTTTCAGCCTGACTTGGTGTCCAGAATGAAGTATAATACAAGGGGGGGGGGGGATTCATTGCTGGATTGTTCCGATGGCACGTTCTGATTTCCTTCCACATTGCCTGCTACCATTTACTTTTCAGAATCCTGAAATAGGTGGTCCCTGCATACTATTCAGGGTTATTTCATTTTATTTCATTTTGAGACAGAGTCTCACATTTAGTAGAGTGCTATGCCATATTAGCTCCCTGCAACCTCAAACTCTTGGCTCAAGCAATCCTTTTGCCTCAGTTTCTCATTTTTTTAGTAGAGATGGGATCTCATTCTTCTCAGGGTGGTCTCGAATTCGTGAGCTCAAGTAATCTACCCACCTCAGCCTCCCAGAGTGCTAGGATTATAGGTGTGAGCCACCGCACCCGGCTTATTCAGGGTTTTTAGTTGTATTTAGTGAAGAGTTACAGTGGAGCACACTTAGTCCATCTTAACCAGAACCTCAGCCTTGAATGTCATATGGTTTTCCTGACTTTTTTCAATGCATATATGCAAATTTATACCTAAAATTAATGTTAGAAATATGTTAACTATTTTGTCACTTACTGTTTAAAGTGAATATTTTGGAAAATCTCCTGAATCCAGGAGATTTACGTTATCATTTTATGACTGCATCATATTCTATTACACAGATTAATTCATTTAAGTGACATCTTATGATGGTGCCTTATGTTTTGTCTGTTTTTCTCCATTACTAACAATGTTTTAGTGAGTATTACTGTACATACCCTTTATCTACTTGTCCAATATTTTCCTTAGGATAAGGAAAATAAAACAAATAAATAAAAATAAATAAATAAAAGTGGAATTGCTGTGACAAGAAGTGTGAATATTTTGAACTTGACACTCATTACCCAGCGACCCTCCCGAAAGTCTATACCAATTTTCCTCCTCAGTAGCTCTGCATGACAGGAAATTTTCTTACGTCCTTGTCAACATCGGATGTCATTATCTTTTCTATTCTTTGCCGTTGGTAGCTCATTCATTTCTATGATTAATAATAGGCTAAAATTGTTTATAGTACATTATAATTTCAATGCATTGCTGAATTCAATGTGTTGGTATTTGTTTTTTTAATTTTATGTCCATATTTATAAGTGAGTCCAATCTCTTTTTGGTAAAAGAGGCATAATATAAATTTACCATTTTACTAATTTTTTTTTTTTTTTTTTTGAGACAGAGCCCCAAGCTGTCCCCCTGGGCAGAGTGCCGTGGCATTACAGCTCACAGCAACCTCCAACTCCTGGGCTCAAGCGAGTCTCCTGCCTCTGCCTCCCAAGTAGCTGGGACCACAGGCGCCCGCCACAACGCCCGGCTATTTTTTGGTTGCAGCCATCGTTGTTTGGCGGGTCCGGGCTGGGGATTCGAACCCGCCACCTTAGGTGTACGTGGCTGGCGCCTTAGCCGGTTGAGCTATAGGCGCTGAGCCCATTTTACTAATTTTTAAGGATACAATTCAGTGGCATTAAGTACATTCACAAGGTTGTCAAAACATTACCTCTCTCCGTTTCCAGAACAGTTCTATCCTCCCAAATAGAAACTCTCTGCCCCTTAAACAATTACTCCTTATCCTCCCTCCCCAGCCCCCATAGCCTCTGTTATACTTGCCGTCTCTGTCTCTGTGAATTTTCCTACTCTAGGTACCTCATGTTAAGGGAAATCATACAATATTTGTGGTTCTATGTCTGATTTAATTCACTCAGCATAATGTTTTCAAGGTTTGTCCAGGATATACCATGTATCAGAAGTTCGTTCCTTTTAGAGGTTGAATAAGTTTCTATTATACGTATATATCGTATTTTTTAATCCATTCATTATTCTGTTGGTGGACACTTCAGTTGCTTTTACTTTTTTGCGATTTTGGTAATGTTTCTGTGAACATTGGTACAAGTGTCTGTTTGAGTTCCTATTTTCTTTTCTTTCTTTTTTTTTTTTTTTATTGAATGGTAACTATGTACATTAATGCACTTCTGGGGTACAGTGTGGGGTTTTCACATGCAATCCAAAATACTTCCATCAAACTGGTCAACACAGCCTTCATGTTGTTTTCTCAGTTATTGTTTTAAAATGTTCACATTCTACTCTTAGAAAGATTCACTTGTACCCCTGTGAGTTCCTATTTTCAATTCTTTTGAATATTTACCTAAAAGTGGAATTGCTAGATCGTACAGTAATTCTATGTTAAACTTTTTGAAGAACCTGCCATATCATTTACCATGGTGGGCACACCCCCAATGTTCAGGCCTCCAATTTCTACACATCTTTGCCAGTACTTGTTATTTTCTGGTTTTTGTTTGCTGGTCAGTTGATTTTTTTTTTAATAATAATTATCCCAAAGATCATTACATAACCATAACCTTTCTGATTTCTTTAAACTATCTTTATTAGATTTTGGTATCAAAGTTAAGCTAGCATTGTCCAATAAGCTGAGAATCTGTCCTTTTTCTCTGTGCTTTGGAGCAGTTTAAATAACATAGAAATTTTCTTTACTCTGCAGGTTTGTAAGAACAAAGAACAGAGAAACAATCCGGGACAGACACCACTTTTTTGGGGCTTGTTCTTTGACAACTTTCTCTATCTCCTCCCTCGTTATTAATATAAATAGTTTTTTCCTCACTCTTCTAGAGCCTTTCAAGTCATTTTTACTTTCCTAGAAAAAGCAGCATGATATAGAGGATTCAGGCTTTCTTTTTTGCTGTCAATAAATATATGCGATATTTATCATTTCTATCTCTGTGATCTCTTAGAAAGGTGGGCATGTGTTTGTTTGCGTGTTCATTTTCTCTCCAAGGAACAAGCTCTGGATTTGTCTGGAATTCCTCATTTCTCAGCTATTGGGTTAGCTGTTTAGGGGAGCAGACTTAGGTCACAGTGAGGCAGCCCGGAGTCATGCTTGAGGGCAGGGATCTAGATCCAGATGGTGAGTTCAAGTTCCTTTACTTACTACCTATTTGACCTTGAATAGTTATTTAACCTCTCTGCATTTCAGTTTCCCCAGCTATAAAATAGAGTGTGTGTGTGGGGGGGTAATATTATCTACCTCATACACTTTTTATTAATATTAATGAGTTGGTATTTTTTAAGTGCTTAGAAGAGTGCCTGGCACACAGCATCTTGTAAGTATTTCTAAAATAAATCTAGACTTCCCTCCAGTGTGCCAGAAGTCTAGGTCCCCTGGGAGTGTCTCCATTTCCTGAATATACTTTCTGCATCTTCACACCACTTACACACCTACCTCTTATTTTACAGAACTATCTCCGTGCAGAAGAACAACCACTTGCTTTCCATTCTGCTACCTGAGACAACCACTCCCTCCTCACTCATACTCCCCACAGGCTCCCATGGAGAGCTCAGGTCAGTGTGGTGGAGGGGAGGGTCTAGTGGGCGTGGCTGCTCAGAGGGGAGGGCCCCTCTTGTGCGTCAGTATGGCCCCCAGGGTTGGCAGGACCCTTGGCACCCAACCAGACTGCAGGACCCCAATTCAGCTGCTCAAATGTGAGAGTATTGTGAGAGGCGGACATCCACATACTGGCATGAACCCCAAGGGCTTACAGGTCACTGAACTGTACAATGGGAGTGATGACAAGAACAGCCAGGATTTATTATCAAACACTGGCGATTATTTAACAAAAACCTGTGCAGCACTTACACTGAATCAAGGAGTGATAAAAACGCTTGACAAATATTAACAAATATTTGTAAAATAACAAATATTAGTTAGTCTTTTTTTCCTTTTTTTCCTTTTTCTTTCTCTGTTGCCCAGGCTAGAGTGCAGTGGCATCATCATAGCTCACTGCAGACTTGGGCTCAAGTGATCCTCCTTCCTCAGCCTCCAAAGAGAGGTTAAATAATTTGCTTAAAGCTAGGACTGGAATCTGGGATAGCAAGGCAGGATGACTCTCCCTCCCAACCTGTGTCCTCTAAGGGTCCCCCCAGCAAATCAGAGACCATACCACAGGCCACAAGGCAGAGACTCTAGAGCCCTTGAAGATCCCTGTCCTGAGGAAGGGGAGGGGACCCCCAAGACAGGGTCAGCTGCCTAGTGGTTAGAAGTAGCTCCACTGGGTTGGGCTACCCCAATGAATCCTACTTTGGCAATATTTTAAGTTGTCTGTAAGCAGCTGGAATTTGAGGTGGAAGGCTAGGAGCCGGGCAGCACTGTGAAAAACATCCTAAATATAGTCACGGGCCATGTAAAGATATTTCAGACAAAAAGACCTAATACGTGTCTAAGACAGTGGTCACCCTGGGAGGCTAAGGCAGATGGAATTTTGAGCTCAGGAGTTTGAGACCAGCCTAAGCAAGAGTTAGTCCTTGTCCCTAAAAATAGCCAGGCATTGTGGCAGATGCCTGTAGTCCCAGCTATTTGGGACGCTGAAGAAAGAAGATCATTGAGCCCAAGAGTTTGAGGTTGTTGTGAGCTATGACACCACAGCACTCTACTGAGGCTCTCTCTCAAAAAAAAAAAAAAAGACAGTGGTCACAAAAGATTATAACTGTATTTTTACTGTACCTTTTCTATGTTGAGATACACAAGTCCTACCACTGTGTTACAGTTGCCTGAGGTATCCATCACAGTGACATGCTGTACAGCTGTGTGCCTCAGGAACAGTCAGCTACACCGCACAGCCTGGGCGTGCAGTAGGCTGCCCTGTCAAGTGCCCTGTCAGTGCCCTCCATGATGTTCACGCTTGATGAAATCCCTATCAGTGTGCTTCCCAGAACACAATCCTGTTGTTAGGCAACTTGTGACTATTTCAAAGCCAATTTTCTTTGCACTCACTTTAATTACAGCAATAAAAATACACTATGATGTCTTTTAGGAAGAGAGGTGTGTCAATGAAGGTTGTTTGGATGAGAGCAATAGAAATTGATAAGACTAATTTAATTTCCAAAAAACAAAGTGGCCAAGCATTGAAAGAAGGGCTGAAGCACCAGACACCAGAAAGGGCAGGGGACAGGCAGCCGTGCCACGGGGTATGGAGAGCACACCAGTCCTCCTTCCCTCCTCGCATTTCCGCACAAGCCTCTGAAAGAGAGAGACACCTTGGCCAGCTTGGTCCTGTGCTCATACTGAGCAAAGTAGGGCACTCACCAAGTCATCCCACCCAGATTGCAGTGAGCAGGAACCATGGACAGCCACGCCCAAAGATGTGACAGATGACACCCAAATCCAGTGAGTGAGAGGAAACACCCCCAAACTGGAATGCTTGCTCTGGCAGCTCCAGCAGGGAGTCTTCCCACCATGCCCAAGATTGCAGTTGTCCTGGCTGCCTTCCCACTTTATAGCCCTCTCTAGCCCTAACTCCTGGAGTTAACAAGAAGAGCCCCTGAGAAATGAAATACTTATTTGGAGGATGGAAAAGAGTGATATTTCAAGGGCACCAAGGCTATTGTTATTTTGCCCTCCCCAAAAGGCAGATGCAGAGCGGGAGAGGTGTGAGGTCCCTCTTGGTGGGACTTTCTGTGGTGGCAGAGGTAACATGAGACAAGGGTAAGGGCTCTGGACCTGGAAGCTAGCACATAGAGAGAACAGCATTTGTCTGCCAAACTCACGGGTTCTTGGCTCGGGGCCTATAGCTTAGCAGCTAAGTCACCAGCCACATGTACCAATGCTGGCAGGTTCAAACTCAGCCTGGGCCTGCCGAACAATGACAACTACAACAACAACAACAACAACAAAATAGCCAGGCATAGTGGTAGGCACCTGTAGTCCCAGCTACTTGGGAGGCTGAGGCAAGAGAATCGCTTAACCTCAAGAGTTGGAGGCTGCTGTGAGCTGTGATGCCACAGCACTCTACTGAGGGTGACATAATGAGACTCTGTCTCAAAAACAAAACAAACTCATGGGTTCTTGTCAGAATCAAATGAGATAATACACTGGAAAACACTTCATATATTCATGAGTCATTCAGAGAATGGTAGCTCCCTAACAACCCCAAATTTCATTAACACAATAAATATTTATTCTCATTCACATCCCAGTCCCATCTGGGTTTTAAGAAAGCATTCAGGGACTGAAGAGAGAGTATGGAGGACAGGGCAGGGGAAGTTATGACCAGGCCTGTAAGTGACATCACTTCCACAACATTCCATTGGCCAGAACTCAGTCATGTGGCTTTTAGCTAACTCCAGGGGAGTCTGGGAAATGTAGTCTTCCTGTCTACCTGTGACAAAAATGAACCTGGTTTGATGAACATAGAGCATTGTCTTGCCACTCCTATGGAATACTCTGTGTATATTTAAATGTTAGATATTAATTGTCATGTTATATTTAACAGTAATATCCCACGTTTCTGGGTGGAGATGAGAATAGCAACAGTGGATGCCACTTATTCATTGACTGTTCAGAGTCAACAATGATATTAGGCATGCACATCATATATGAGCAACCCCAAGACACTTGAGGCACAAGAAACATCCCATTCTTTTCTTTTGCTTCATCAGATCAAAACCAGCTTCAAGCTTTCGTTTCCAAGATTAAAATGAATTCCAGTATCATTCACTTGGGGTACTTCCCCCTTCTTTGGGAGCTTGTGGAGAAGCCCAGGGCTTATATAGCCTGGGCAGTGGGAAGAGTCCAGAGTCTCCAGTCCCCTGTGGCTGCAGCCTTCAGAACGGCTTGGCTAGGCTTACCTGGTCTACAGGGAGACAGGAGAATACTGTGGGGAACAGGAGCTCTTTGCTGTGGCATTCAAAGGCACAGCATTCAGAGCTAAGCTGCCCTCATCTGTTCTTGCCACCATTGGTAAGCAACATCCAAGCCAGTCCAGTCTTCCTCATTCCCCAGAACCCAATAATCTTTGTGCCCTCACAGTCTCCCACCCTTGAATTTGGCCACTCTCCTCTTTAGCTAAAAGCATTAGTCTTTATTCTCGTCCCTTTTAGACAATCCAGCTTGTTGGGCTCAGTCAGCTGCCAGGGGTCTCAAACTCGGGGGCCTTCAGGGGCCAGGTAGAGTAAGCGAAATCAGGGCAATGGGAGCAGTGAAGAGCTGGAGAAGCTGGGCCCATGTCGAGGGAGCTGCTGCTCCCCCGCCCCTATCAATTGTCACATGTAAGAAGAATACATACTCAGTGTGGGCAGATTTTTAAGAGCTGCCGGAACCCAAACTTTCATGCAAAATCACCTGATGTGTAAATGTTGGCAGCTAATTTCTTTTTTTTTTTTTTTTTCTTTAAGACACTACACAAGTCCAAATAAAACAGGTCTGCAGGCCAGATGTGGACAAAGCCTGAGACTTTGAATTTTGTCCTGGCTGCTCAAGCCTTTCGAAAACAGTGTTTATTTGAAGCTGTCTCCCAGGGCTACTGGCAACTTCTCTATTTTTCTGTGAAACATAAAAAGTTAACTCCCTTGGCAAAGTAGGGGAATCTGAGACTCAGAAGATAAAGGCTTGACTGCCTTTGTAATGGGAGGTAAGAGAAGGTAATGTGGTTGTCACAGCTGAATGTGACACAGCAGAAGCAAGAGAGAGCAGGAAAGAGAAGGAAGGAAGGGAAAAAAGGAAGGAAGGAAGAAAATGTGTTCTATTTTTTCTAATATGCAGTAAAAGAAGCACATAACTATTCAGATTTTAAGACTGCTTGTGTACCACCTAAAATTGTCTTTCCGTTCACCAGTGATATATATACTACACTTTAAATCCTGACCCCAAGTGCCATTAGAAGGAAAGTTCATTACTTTTGTCACCTCTTGAGGCTCATAGACGGGGCTAAAGACATTCTCAGGGGAATGGAAGTGGGGCAGGGTGGGGCCAGGAGAACTGAGCTCCCCTCCACTTTCCACCACTGCCTAGATGTGGAGCTGGACCTCCAGAGGAGCGTGCAGGCTGTGCTCCGGGACCTCAATGCCCAGGCCCCGGCCCTGCAGAGCAACCAAGGTAAGAGCCAATGGGCGGGCTGTGGTGGCTCCCCGTGCCGCCCCTAATCTGCCCCAGCCAAACCCACATATTGGAGTTCATAGGGTGAGGGGCTTCTAGCCAAGCCCTCTTCTTGCTAGAAATATCTAGAGCCTGAAGGAGTGAGAAAGCATCTCTGCTTCAACACTCCTAGAACTGAGCACACGGGAACCTGCCACCCTCTTTCTTAGCCACCTGTGCCAGCTCCACAGCCAAACCAAATGCCCCACCAGACTGCAGGCCCGTGGGGCTCCCAGAGTGTGGCTGAGGACACCCCACACAGACGTTGCTGCTCTGCCATCTACAGGCACACACCGTCCCCAGTGGTGTCCAACCTGTCCTCATTTTTGTCCTGAAAGCTCATTGTCCCCAAAGAACTACAGATCAGTATTCCCCCCACATGAGGAGCCCACCCTGAGTGCACAGAGGACCAAGCACTGGGTGGTGGAGGGGCCAGGCCTGTAGCTAGGCAAAGCCGCAGTCCAGGGCTCCAGGGCTCAGGGTCCTGATCAGAGGAGCATCCTCTAAGATCCCCTCCCCTGCCTGGTCATGCTGGGCTTCCCTTCCTCCAGGCCCAGGCATGTGGAGATGGTCCCTGCACAAGAAGGTCGAGCGCGATCCTGGCAAGAGTCCAGCGCTGGTCCGCATCTTGCTCAGAGAACTGGAGAAGGTGGGTTCCCCCGGCCTGGGAGAGGCAGCCGGGATCAGAGGAAGGAAGGGGCTGATCCTGCCCAGGGCTCAGCCCCAGCAGTGCTTAGTCATTTGTGGACTACTGGCATGATTTTTACCATGTACATCTTCCTCCCTGCACTTGTACATAAGCAATATTTTCTTCACATCAATTAGCCTTGTTTTACTTGAATAAACATATTTCAAAAAGAAGCTGGATACAGTGGCAGCCTGTAGTCCCAGGTGCTTGGAGGCTGAAGCTGGAGGATCACTTGTGCTCAGGAGTTCAAGGCTGCAGTGAGCTATGATCATGGCTGTGGATAAGCCACCACATTCCAGCCTGGGCATCATAGGAGAATCCTTCTCTAAAAAAATAAAAGTGGGGGCTCG